GATCTAGCTTCAGTATCTACACACATAGACAGTGAGGTCTATGTGGCCTCTTGGCCAATCGGAGGCCAGGATGATGCTCGGTAAGCCAATAGCAGAGCAGCTATGAGTATGTTGAGCCCAGGAAACTCGCAGCTGTGACCAAAATAAACATCGTTCACTATGTAAACCAGTGTGGTGGTTGCTGTTGCCGTTTCCAAACGAAGCAGTAGAGGTCGCTGTTGGATTAGACTTCATTGTAGTGAATATCTTCGCGAGGCAGGAGCAGAGAAAATGATTTCGTATAACGCAACAGGGTTTTTTTTTCGTCGTATGGTGGGCAGGAGAATGGGAATGGTGTTAATGCATTCAGATTTTTTCACATTAGGGGGTATTTTCGCCCATGTAGGTTTTGTTCTAGAGGAGTTTCACTGTATGACTTAAGAGCATTGTCACGGAACTCGTATCTTAAGACAACATGGGACACAATAGAAAGTCATCCATCACTTACCACAAGCTGTTTGTCTGTTATCTGTAATACATCCACCAGCTCCTCTATCAAGCCGTTATACAGAATACTATTGGTGGACTCGCCCAGTGCATTTGAATACACTGCAAAAATTTGGAAAAAAATGAGGTTTTAGAAACAGAGGCACATGTACACACAGTTGTTATTAATGATAAGTGATTAGCTTCAACCCACCCAGTATAGAGATGGCATGCAGTCTGGCCTGCACGGCCTGCAGCCTCTTTTTGTGGTTTGAAAAGCCATGAGCCAAGCGAATGTGTGTGAAAAGCAGTGTCTGCTTATCTTTCGGTATGTTGTACATGACTGTGAGCGACTCCATGATCTCAGATGGACTGTCTGAAATCTAAAAGGGGAAACAAAAGTATCACATTTAAATTAAGTATTACATTATCAATCCTGTATTGATGCGGTAATTTAAGCAGTACATACCTTGTCAAGTTGCTCAATATGAATATAGTGTAGTGTGTTGCTGCTTGTCTGTTTGGAAATTGGGGGCACATTAAGACACACATTTAATATAGACAAATCCATCTCAGGCATTCCTTTAATCATATTGCAAAGAATTCATTCATCTTTACCTTCCTCTCCACTTTTACCTCAGGAGCCGGTTCGGCATAAAACTCAAAGTGCAGTGTGGTGGCACTAGGAGGGTACTTCTGGTCAAGGTAGATAAATGGTGGTTTAGCAAAATGACTTCAATTTAATCACGGCAGAATCTTAAAACAGCATTATGAAATAGATATTTGACAGACTCTTACCGTCATGAGGAGATCTCTGCAGCACTCTGCTAGGCCAAAGCCATTTTCCTTTCCTCCCCAGCTCTAAGACCCCAATGAGAAAAAACAATATGACCTTTTCATTCTGAAATCATGCTATGAAAGAAAAAAAAAAGTTTACTCCACCTCAGCCAGATGTTGCAGACGTGCCAATAGAGGTGTTCTTTTGTCGGATCCTAGTCTTGTGATGTAGTTTGACCGCTTGCTGAACACATACAGGAGGTTCAGCACAGACAGGACCACTTGCATGTCACATGACGCCAGTAAGGTTGTTAAGTGCTGCGAAGGAGGAACAGGTGATCACATTATTAGTTATTGTGATGTGCATGACATGTGGTCACAGTCCGAATGGCAGTTTAACTTGCAATACGACATTACAAGACCTTTGTCTATAATTAATGAGTCACTGATGACTACAATATATTACAATGTATGTGGAAGTAAAACAATCAAGAAATGACAATGCTTTATATTAACAAATACATTTCTTGCATATTTTCATAGTTTGATAAAAAATGATCCACTTGAGTACAAAAAAAAAAACATCTTAGTCATCTTAGTCAGTCACAAATTAAATTTACAAATACACGTTGCAATCATACATTTCAAACAAAGGTCAGTTTTGAAGGACATGAGCACTTGGTTTATTAACACAAAGATGCATCCCAGAATCGATGCCCATTCATCTAAAAGAACTGTTGTGTAAAAAGGGTTTATATATATATATATATAAACCCTTGTATATATATATATATATAAAAAGATTAATTGGATTTACATTAGTCCCGACAAAAAAACTGCTTTAAGGGTTTCATGCGATTCGGTACGAATTTTCCAGCCAGTGCACGGCCCCCTCCTACCTCTATGGAGCTGTAAAGGTGCCTGGAGAAGCTGTACTCAATGAGCAAAGCTGTGAAGTTGAGCACTGCCAAAAGCAGGGCTTTGAGCTGGCTGTTGTCCGGCCGGTCACACACCAGCAGCCATGACATATTCTCCACTGTCTGGCCTGCATCACATAGAATGCCATCGAAGCGGTCCAGCAGATCCACCCAGTGGTACAACTCGCACTATCAAGCAAAGACAAGAATGAACTGCACTCCAGTAAGGTTGTCAAAATGAAAAAAATTCAACCAGTTTCTATCAAAATGTAACCTCTCTGTGGAATTCATGGAATGCAACTCTTCGGTTGGTCTTTTGCCTTGACAAAGAAATGACTGCTTGAGATTTACCTTGCCAATATTCCAGGTCTTGATGTGCTGCAATTCAACGAGCAGTTGATCATCGCTGCATGCTTTGAGCTTCTCTATAAGTATCCTACAGTCAGCAGGCTGTTGTTTTCGAAGGGACACAAAGTTGAAGATTGAACAATATAGCGCACTAATCACTTTTGCTTCAATATCCTTTTGGGTGTCACAAGATGCCAAACGGTCAACTTGGCATTTCCATTCTCTGCAATCACTTCACCCTCTTGGGACGAGAGTGATTTTCATGCACCCAAGACTCATCAAAAATTGACTTCTTTTGCACATGATAATTCCTGGTGATTTTGCGGCTCCTGGCTCATGACAACTAGCTTCCAGACACGACGGTACCTATGTCAGAAATGAAATCAGGCAGCAGCAACAATGTTCTTCCTTTTTAGATGATTGAGCATTCCCGTCATGCTGCCATGAAAGGCAGGTTTGTGTCGTATTGAGCATATTTGGTGAAGTGCACCATAACTTTCGGCTTCTGTTGCTAACACGCTTTAGCCCTTATACTGCATTACCCACAATGCTTCTGTTTCCATCACAGATGACCCAGAATACTACTACTCTACATGTACGTTGCAGATTGGCATACTACAGCCGGTGGAAGAACGAGACTAGGCAGTACCGAGAAAAAAAGACAACGCGTCAAATAAATATATGAATAAACTATACATCATCTATTAAATTAGTTGTCGATGATTTTGTCAAGATCGTCATGATTAGCCGACTAATCTTGGCAGCACTACTCTACAGCGTACACTATATAAACAATCAGCTGTTCTGTATAAGTGAATGGCACAATGATCCTCGTTTCCAACGGTCAGAGTGTGCACTTGGATCGTATTTCTGAACGCACCCACAATTAGGGATGGGGAATTTGGTGTATCAGTCCGAGCTGTACTGCTCTTGGTCAGTTTTTTTGTTTGTTTTGTTAAAAGAAAATCCCCCGCCCCCAAAATATGATTTGGACCCCGGAGCTACTTATACAGTACATGTTTTTTTCTTCTTCATGATGCATACTTTGTCTGGTGTGACTTACAGTCCAGAAAATACAGTACATTTTTTGAAATGATCATTTAGCCCTATCAAAATATCAAGTTGCTATAGTGCATGTTTGAAATAATGCTGGCGTCAACAGATGTCAATTGTTGTCAGCATTGGTATTGATAGAAATTGTCACACAGAAATGCTCAAGCATACTCACAGCTTCTGTAGGGGTTTTCTTTAACTTGCTTCTATCCACCTTCATGGTTGCTGATCTATTGAAAGCTCCTGTTGAAAAGTCTACGTATGAGTAACCATGCTTTTCAGAAACAATGCACAAAAATTCACAGCATACGTACAGATGCTTTGGAAACGGCCGCTTAACGGCATGTTTGAGTCGCTTCACCTAGAAGAGGGTAGAATAAGGAAACTAAGAAAATTGAGCAGCAGGTTTGACCCGCACACCATCACGGTACTGCATTTTCATTTTTCTTTGACAGAAGCATACATCCAGACTTGTTAAAAAAACAAAATTAGTAATCTTGAAATGTTTACAAACGCACTGCAAATGGCATGGGAAGCGTTGCCAAGCAAATATGAGAAAGTATGATTTAGGTTTTCAAGTGACTGCTGGGAGTCAACTAGTCATCACAAAGCAAAGTCACAGAGCCCATTAGCCGGTAACTAGCTCGGAACACACGGCGCTAGCAAATATAGTCGCAAAAGTCGCCTTCGACTGGCCTAGAATTCCAATAAGGTTTGTTGTACAGTCCGAGTAGTATGATTCGAAGCTAAATGGCGAGCACTCAGATGACTAGACCACCACAAACACTTAACGCTGACAGAATAAAGTTGGAGCTAGATAGCTACCTAGCTAAGTAGCATGCTAACACCAGCTTGATGTTAAATGTAAACAATTCGCGAATGTATACGCCGTTCACGCTGCCCTTGCAAATACAAAGAGTGTTCTAAAAACACCAAGCACCATAAACCTAACCGGTTGGAGTTTTCGCCCGCATTCGACTCACGAGCAATAAATCAAGGCACGGCAACATTCGTTTTGAGTTGTTGTTAGCCCATATCGCTTTCAAGTGTGTCAAGATACACACTTCAAAGCGTTCAAAATACCCGAAGACTGCGCTCAAGTGGGCCAAACACCACCAAAGACGCGCCCATGCTTAGCTTGAAAACGATCTTAGGCCAAAACCTGTCTCTGAAGCCATCCGAGTCGTAGCTGTCAATCCACAACGAGGGGATCCTGACCTGACTCTTCCCTAATTGAGGTCGGGGCTGCGCAGGCCGAGAAAAGAAGCCCGCAGCTCCTTCTTGGGTCCCTTCTCTTCTTGCCGCACCAACAGCGCTCGGGTGGCCACGACGATGACATGCGGCCAAGTGAAACAAGTGCGGCAGGCTAACGTGCGTTTGCCACTGCTCAGTTTCTTACCCTGACTCATCAGATAGCCGTAGCACGCGCTAGCTGTCCAGCTACAGCTAGCGAGCAGCAACGTATCGACAGAGCAACTCGCTGAATCATTGTCGTCACACTGCCACACACACTTGCGATTCTCACTTGGCGTTCGGGAGGAAAGAAAAAAAAACACACACACAGGAGAGACAACAACGGTCTCGGGCTAGGAAAAGAACCGCGATCGTTGGTACGTTGTGTGATGATTTCACACACCCGCACACATACATTTTATATATACTGTGTGTGTGTTGTACACACACAGATATATACACACACACATATACATACATATACACACACACACACATATACATACATATACACACACACACACACACACATATATATATATATATATATATATATATATA